GTGTGTGTGTGTGTGTGTGTGTGTGTGTGTGTGTGCGTGTGCGTGCACGCGCAGGTAAACTACCTGAACAAGTCTCTGGACACCTTCAACACGCTGCTGGTCTACCCCATCTACTACGTCCTCTTCACCTCGGTGGTCCTGTCCACCTCCATCATCCTCTTCCATGAGTGGAGCAACATGGCTGCCGTGGATGTGGTCACCACACTAGGCTCCTTCCTGGTCATCGTGGTGGGCGTGGCCATGCTGCACCTGTTCAGGGAGCTGCAGGTGCGCGTTCCCTCCCCTTTAACCTCCCTCTGCAGATAAACTGAAGCTTTTTTTTCTCTGTGCTGTTTAATAAATAAATTGGATGCAACCTCACAGAGAATGTTTGCTTTTTAATGCAGATCACCATGAAGCAGCTGACCAATCAGCTTTCTCAGCCAGTGGAGAGGGAGGGGCTTACAGAGGAAGTCTCAGCCAGTGGAGGGGGAAGAGGCGGGGGGAATAAAAAAGAAGATAAATACGGACTGATTGACAACGTAGTGATAGAGAGTCTGCCTCCTATGAGAGACGAGGGGCCGAGGGTCTTCATCATCAGCTGAAGAGGAGGAGGAGGAGACGTTTCTGACTGTTACTGTCGTTTTCAGCACTTTTTAAACTTTCAGAAGTTTAGTTTAAGAACATTTCACTTCACCTGTCTCCATCAGGTTGAAACGTTTAGCTCAGATCTGAGCTCATTTCAGCAAACAGCTGAAATATTTTCACACAAAAAGTACAAAATATGAATAACATTTAAAACCATAAAATATAAACAATCAGAAAAAATGATCAAAATGAAATTTGTGCAAAGATGTCAAAGAAGTAAAAACTGTATATAAAATATATATAATAGTTTTGACAGACAAGTTTGATCAAAAGTTTTTATTTTCATTTCAGCTGTTCTGATCTAAACTCAGATCTTTGATGTTTTAAGTATTTATTTAGTGTTTTTATATATTAACTGTGATTTAAAACATCTTGCTCTTGAATGTTTTATGATTTATGGAGAAATAATCCTCAAAATGTTTTTGTCAGCAGAAGTTAAAATGTGATTTGCTGCTTTTCTTTTTGTGGTGCCAGAAAACCAGAGCAGAGTGAGACCTCCTTCCCACTCTTTGATTGTTTTTATTTTGAAACGTGTTCCTCTGAGCTGAAGACCGGAGCTGATGAAGCAAACGGTTCTGACAGATGTTGGGACTGAAGATGTTTCTGCTGAAGACGAGTCGGTTCATGAAGCTCAGAGGAACAAAGCTTCACATCTTTATTAAAATCATTGAAAAAACTGAAACTCTGTTTTTATTTACTGTTACTCACTTTTAACTTTAAGCTCTTCTATTGTTATTTTATTGTGTTTTTTCCTGTTTGGACTTTTAATGAAGAATAAAACAGTTAATATTTAAGTTAAAMAAGAAGGAACAAACATTTTTTAAACTTTCAAGAGGAAAAAAAGTTGAGTTTTTTAAGTAAGTAAAACTGCAACAATAAAAATCAAAGATAGAATCTGACACAGATTAGCTGTGTTTCACTGGACTCAGCACCTCCTGCAGAAACATTTATAAAACACGAGGAGCACYGAGATCTTCAAGAAGAAATGCAACTTTTTACGTTTTACTACAGATTGTTTGTCGTCATGTTAGTTTCCAGTTTAAACCAGTTTCCTGTTRGTTTCAGCTGTTTGGGTTTTCAGCTGATGATATAAACTGATCTTATTAACAGGAGTTTGTCTCATTTTGTGGTCTGGAGTCGCAGCTCAGAGAGTTGGATGTGATTCAGTGTTTTCACCTGGGAAACAGCTCAGAGTTATTTATGRATCTAGTAAAGAGACTCAATAAATGTCAGTTCCCTGGGAGGAAGTTAAAGCGAGCTGCAGTCAGTTCCCTGAGCGACCACTCAGTGTCAGTGTGAGGCAGCTTGTTGAAATGTTCCAGGTGTTTCAGCTGCAGTTTGACTGACAGCTTCTCTGTTTTATTTTTGTAGAGTTCAGCTTGTCCTTCCTGTCAGGTGATTCTTGCTGCTGGTTCGGCCTCTCAGCTGGGGTCTTCACTTGGTGAGTTAATAATCAGTTTATCATGATGAGTCTCAGAATTAAACTGTCGTTTCTGAACTCTGATGTTCAGTTTAATAAAAATAATAATTTGATCTGATAAGATCAGTTCTGATCAAAGCCTCAGACTTAATTACTTTTCTGATTGCCTTTTGGTAATTTCCTGACAGCCAATTAGTGTGTGTGTGTCGTCCATGTTTGATGGTCATTTTAAATCCCAGTAATCCTCTCAGAGGTCAAACCCTCGACACAAAAGTCTCATTTTCCTGCCTCATCTCTTCTCTGACAGAAACTGAAGACCAGAGGCAGTTTCAGACCTCCATCAGGGGTCTGTTTCTGTTCAACATGACTTTAAAACACGTCAAACATTTCATCTGTAGCTTTGTTCAGCATCAAATTAACTTTTATTTTACTCAAACACAACAAATCTGATTAGAAAAACTGTAATAAGTTCACTCTTCTTCCCAAACGTAAACTTTTTGGCAGATTCTGCTTCAAACAGGAGGGTTTTAGTTTCTTTATTTTAATCAAATCTGCTTCAGATCTTATTAACGTGAAAAGAAACAAAATATAACTTTAGTTTTTAGGACATTTACAGTTTTTTATGATAAACTGTTTCATCTTGTAACAAAAAAAAACTAAATCTATAAATATAATTTTGACAGTTCAGTCACTGACGGTGAGTCGACACTGAGACTTATTCCTTAAATAAAAGATATTTTAGTGTAAATTAGTTTCTACGTTCTGAACAACTTTCATAAAAACTTTGACTCTAAAGTTTATTTTTAACAAACAAACAGAATAATCTGATCAGAACCAAAATTAGCCTTTTTTATTGCAGTAAAATTACATAACTTCTTTATTTCTGAAACAATTTGAGCAAAGTTTATAATTTTTGCATGTTTGATTTTTGCTGCATCCAGTAAAAAGAGTTTTAATACAATTTGGACTCTTCTTTGGTTTTTGTCACATAAATCACAAAGTGCTTAACCGAGAAGAAATAACTAAAAAATTATAATAAAAAAACAGGGCACATACAGTATATAACAACAACAACAAAAGTAGAAATATCTTACCAAAAATGACTTTGGGAAAAGTTAGTCTCCTCTAAGAATATTACTTGATATTAATAATTAATATTACTTATTACTTACTTATTAATATTACTTATTAATATTACTTCTTAAAGTACCTGATTTGTTTTTAACTTAAGTACATTTCTGACATAAAATGTACTTAAGTATTAAAAGTATTGAGTAAAAATGAGTGGTTAGAGTTTTCAAAATGACATTTATTGGGAGGTGACCCCTCCAAAAATATTTTTTTCTAAAGTTGTGCAGCTGCGATGGACTGTGTACAAACGAAAACATTCAGAATGGTATGTATTTACTTCTCATCCAACCACAACTCTATCTAGGAGGCACAATTGACAGAATAGTGTATTTTTTAATAATAATGATAGAATGAAATAGGAGTAACAGTTTTCTACTTCTTGCTTTTTTTTTAAATGCAAGGAGTAGAAAGTACAGATAATTGTGTAAAAATGTAAGGAGTGGACGTAAAATGTAGGTTAAAAAATAATTACTCAAGTAAAGTATAGATAACCAAAAATTCTACTTAAGTACAGTATAGTATTTTTAACTTAGTAACTTTACAACTCCAACTATCAGGGCTGGATCAAATTAAAATGAGACAGATTTTGCCAGTGGTTCTTGAGTTTGACACGTGTGCTTCAGACTCAGTTTATAGAATCTCTGACCCATTCTGCACAGCATGGACTATGACTATGTGCTCAACAGCCAATCATTAACAGAGATGACCTCCTTGATGTGGGTTTTGACCAGACTGCTGTGTGTCTGATCGATATAGGACCAACATGCAGCTTTGTTCCAAACCCCTTGTGTTGCGCTGCTCCTCGTAGTTCCCTCCTCTCCCCCAGCAGGTGTGTGTTGTGGCAGTCTGGAGGATCCTGCAGTCCTGATGAAGATGGGTCTGAGCGTGATCCTCGTGGGTCACGTCAACTTCCTGCTGGGAGCTCTGGTGCACGGCGTGGTGCTCAGACACATCAACCTGTCAAAACACGCCCGAGCCATGGATCACGCCATCTCCAACGTGATGGCTCTCATCTCAGGGATGTTGGTGAGCATTCAGCAGACTTTAGAGGGACCAGTAAACGTACTGCCTTTACAACCAACCCACAGGTGTAGGCCAGATCTGGCAATGATGGCACTGTTTTGATGGTATTCCATAACTGGTGGTTTGGTATACTGTATGTGGTCCAAACCTGCCAGTACCACAAGTGGCCCAGTTGTTTGGTTTATGTTGTGCTGGCCAATGAATGGACCACCTCTGGCAAACTGCAACTGGGCCACCAAAGGGCCATCATTCTTTGTGGTATCTGGGTCACAGGTTACTGCTCATGTGGGCCAGACCAAAACTGCTATGTGGGAAGGACTGCTGAAATTATTTTTTGGGAGCCCACCTATGTTCCCCGGTACAATAGCGTATTTCAGTATTTATTTTATTTTCCTTGGGCTGCTACCTTATCGTGGTGGAGGGGTTTGAGTGTCCCAATGATCCTAGGAGCTATGCTGTCTGGGGCTTTATGCCCCTGGTAGGGNCGAGGACTGTGGTTCTTCAGGGTCTTAACGAGGACTGCGGTTCTTCAGGGTCTTAGCGAGGACTGCGGTTCTTCAGGGGCTTAACGAGGACGGCGGTTCTTCAGGGTCTTAGCGAGGACTGTGGTTCTTCAGGGTCTTAACGAGGACTGCGGTTCTTCAGGGTCTTAGCGAGGACTGCGGTTCTTCAGGGTCTTTACGAGGACTGTGGTTCTTCAGGGTCTTAACGAGGACTGTGGTCCTTCAGTGTCTTAACGAGGACTGTGGTTCTTCAGGGTCTTAGCGAGGACTGCGGTTCTTCAGGGTCTTAACGAGGACTGTGGTTCTTCAGGGTCTTAACGAGGACTGTGGTCCTTCAGGGTCTTAACGAGGACTGTGGTTCTTCAGGGTCTTAACGAGGACTGTGGTTCTTCAGGGTCTTAACGAGGACTGTGGTTCTTCAGGGTCTTAACGAGGACTGTGGTTCT